GCGAACTTGTACATTGTTAGATATCATTTAGAATTACTAAAATGCCGCATGAAAAAAGTGCAGAACTAAAACCGCTCTGTCATCGAGCAAGAGCGTTCGAGTCGAATGTGCTATAACTCATTTTTACATATATTTAATTTCAATAACTAAACAATATACTGCCAATTAGTTTGACAGAAGTCACTTAAAAAATTATAGTAGTCGGGTGACCAAAATATGAACTGTGATTAAAGGATTTTATTTTTTTGCGGTGTTCTTACTCGGTAGAACGGATATGAAATATATTCGTTCAGTTGAACGCAATGGCATACATTTTGGTTTTGTAGTCTGTGCGTAGGTAAGATAACCATGTGAGTGCAGAAAAACTACATTTAAAATAAATCGATATTTTTCCCGCAGTTGCTTAGTGGCAAATTAAACAAATATGAACACATCATTGAACTTCGGAGGGGTAAGGACTTTTTTAGCCAGCGATAAAATATAATACATAATTGAATTTCGAAGAAAAGTGAGAACCTTTTTATTAGCCCGCGTCATGATACTCATCCCCTCTAGAGATAAACAAAAATCGGCGCCTATGAACCCCAATTTATAATTACTATTTTATTAATTATATATCAATAATAAAGGTTTGTTCTAATTCTCAAAATTAAAGCAATTTTAAAACTCTGCCGGACAGTGTGTGTAAAGGCAAAACATCTCCGACTGTTTGAAATTGTTGGGAACCAGTACACAAAATTGAATTAGCGCAATCTGTATTGTTTATTTCTTCCCCGTAACATCACATAAAAAACATGAGTAATAAACTACTTGATAAGTCCTCTCATTTAGGAGCTAGTGATACCACAAATGTTGTTTCAAGAGAACACCCTAACATTATTATTTAACGTAAATATGCAATGTTCATGAGAGGTTCTATTTGTTAATTAACTATACATCCTACCTGTTATGTTAACATAACGTAAAAATTGCTATAAAATGTATCCACGAGAAGTACTGTAAACATCAAATTGTAAATTTGGAACGTAGCCATTTGTTTATACAATAACAACAAAACCCAATAAAATTGTCACATTTCCTTGTCGTGTTTTTAACTTAAATAATTTATAAATTATTTATGAGTTTAAATAGATTTGGTAAGGTTTCTCTAGAAAATAGAAAAATATTTTCTAAATCATTCTGTTGTTTCAGATTGCAATGCCTGGTGTAAATTTATTATTTCATTCATTAGGTACGGAATACAAAATGATTTAGTAGTTTCATTTCATCTACAATAATACAAAAAGAATGGCGGATAATCGTTGTAAACGAGAAGATACATTTAACCCAAATGCTTGTAAAAGAGATTTACAAAACTAATTTCTGGTTAATAATATTTTTAAATACACTAAAAATACATTTTGAAAATATATTGTAAGTTTCCTTTGTTCTAGATAATCTAGATGATAATTCTAACTAACAACTCGGGAATTTTAGAAGCAAAAGTATATACTACAGAATTGGTTTAAGAAGAATAAATAACACGTGAACCTATAGTTAGGTCAGATTCAAGCAGTTCATTCTCTTCAACAGGCTGGTTGTATCTGGAAATCTAACCAGTTCAAGCACAAACCAAGAAAACAAAGATAATGCTCTCGAGTATATAGCAGAAAAAGTTGTTTTTTATAAAATCTGCATACTTAACTTGGAAATCCATAATTAAGCATAAAATTTGTAAAATTCAAACAAAAAATCATTGGTTGTTTTATATAAAACAACAAAGTAAGTCAAAATCATCTAAAAACAAGTAGGATAATCTATTTTTTATTCACTATCTAAGTATGTTGTGGAAAAGTAAAATCTTTTTATATAATAATTTATTCTCTTCAAATAAATTGTCATATATTTATGTTACATTACAGCATAAATACAAATATTTCTAAGCCACATGTGATCAAAATAAAATAATTTTTTATTACTTTTGGCGATAAGATCATTCCACTAATTTTCAACCAAACAAAAAATATATTATACATATCTATACAAAAAGTTTTTTTACACAAAAAAAGTTAAAAGGCTTCATTTCAAAAAGATGATGTATCTCTGTACATTTCAAATGACCTGCGTTTACAGGTAAGAAATCAGAGAACTTAGCTATCCTCTAGTATAGTATATACCTAGTCATTCCCATTTAGGTTCCATGTATGTTTCTGTGTTTCTGACATAAATAGTACGTCCCTTTGATGTTTCTAAAGAAAAGTTTCTGGAATGATTTCTCAAGAACGTTTTAGAAACATTGTAATTATGTATAGGTATTATATTTTCGTTTTAAATATTATTTTGAAATATCAATAAATTATAAAATTACTGCAATCACCAATAATATAATAATATAATACAATAATATTAAACACTAATATTAAATTTGAATATTTTGAACAATAATATTTTCATTTCACAAGACAACTGCTACATATCAAATTTATCTTTATTAGTTCCTTCAAAAGAGTGTAAATACTGGTTCACCAGAAGAATTCGTTACACTATCGACAAAGCCCTCGTGATGGAATCTATTTCTTTGCATTGAAGTGTATCACTGAACTTGGTTAGAATTAAATGTCAGTGGAACCAAAATTACATCACACTATCTGTATTTGTAACGTGTAGAGGGTTACCCCCACGGCACTTAGGCCCATTGTGTACCCTCCTAAGATGAAAGGCTCCTCCTAGCTCGTGAGCCAGCCTACAGGTTTAATGTAGTTGACAACGTCGCCAAGAGGTGCTTCTCATCACACTAAACTAGCGTATTTCCATCACTTTACCTATCTCATTTATCTTATTAATACACCTATACATCTACTTTTTTGATATTGATACATGTTTTCAAGGACATTTTAATAATAAATTTGTATAATTTTATATTTTGTTTTATTTGAAATTTCCAAGTCTCATTGAGATTTTATTATAATCTGAATTTTAGCTGCTCAGTGTTACGTTATGTGAACAACTATACAGTTTGTCCAAGGACGGATTTAACTATACTTGTAAAAATATTTATTTAAAATAAAAAAAAAGAATCGATCCCTTAGAACAGGCCTGCACAAGTGAGGTTTTCAAAGGGCAAGTTCAAAAAAACCATAGGTGTACGAGGGCCAAGAACGGCTGTAATTTTTTTTTGGCGGGGGTGTAGATGAAGGATTTTCGCAGGTGCAACGCTCAAATACCTTGATCTTGAGGCTCAAAAAAAATAAATTTATAGTTTATTTTTAAAAGTTGTTTTTTAAATAAAATAAACATTATTTATTAAGTTTTATTTTAAATACTTACATCAAAGTTTTATTCAGTAAAGTTTTTTTGTGTTTTACCACATATATGATTAAGGCAATTAATAAATGCAATATTGATACTGAAAAATGTATAATTTGACATAGGCGGGCTAAATTGGTAAAGGGACAAAGGGCCAAGGAAACGAAAATGGCGGGCTGCAAGCGGCCCGCGGGCCTTATGTTGTGCAGGCCTGCCTTAGAAGATAAAGATTAATTCAAGGTCGGCAACCCTACTTAAGAGTATAATAAGGTAGGTACATATAACCCAAGGTTCACTTGAAGCTAAAACGGTGAACAATTGCACAAAAGCAGGTTTACTAGATTTTTATCACGATTGCAGGTTGTCTACGATGCTAAAGTTAAATTGGTGAGTAATAATAGACAATAACAAAATATAAACTTCAAGATAAAAATTTGCAAGAAGCAGCAGTCAACACGAATTTTGTTAGGTTATAGCATAAACGAATGCTACGTTCCGCTTTACGAATAAGAGACGAACACGTTCCTCATTTATATTTGAAAATTCTCGATCAGAAGCAACCAATTATTTGGAGCATTGAGCAGAATATCTTGGTTGTCATATTTACTATTTCTTATTATTTTAAGAACAGACCTTAAAAGATTTCATTAAAACACACAATGTGATGTTTATAGAACTTCTCGTTGATACATTTTATAGCAAAAACACTATTACGTTTTGTTTAACGTAACAGGTAGGTCAAATAGGTGACAAATAGAAGTTTTGCGAGGTTTTGATTTCCCTCCACAATCTCTCATGAATGTTACGTTTACGTTCTATAGTAATGTTATTACGTTCCCTTAAAACAACATCGTGAAAGGCTTGGGTTTAGTACGGCTCATTTCAAATATTAACCAGTTTAAAAAATATTTCTAGTTTTACAGTCGTGTTATTTACTTGTCTAATATATTTTACTTGTTAAATGCAACTCCTTTTTTGTTTCGGTTTTTACAACCATAAGCTAAACGCATTATCATTGTAATTACTCAACAATAACACTTTTTGTAAAAAACTCAAAATACACAAATGAAACCATCAAAAATATGTTGGCCGAAATCGGTCTGAAATACTAGTTAGGTACCCATCTCTTTTCCTTCCTAATGTAAGACTTTAACACAAGCAAAAAGCAGACCCGAAGGTTTGTTCTTGTCAGCATTGTTTATTGTATTTATTTTCAATTTTTTTTTCTGTTAAATCGCATGAAATACATTTATGAAAGGTATATAAACGTTTGAATTTAGCTAAATAAGTATTTGGCACTTGCTAACGATTTATTTTATTTTATTCACAATAAACCCTGAAAAACAAAAAGACCATGCAACACCACATAAATGGAAGTTTCATTTTATCCACGTTTTTTTAGGATTTATCGTCAATAAACAAACAGAATGCAAATCTCTGTTGCAAAAATTGACATATATTTTATAGGTTATAAATAAATTATAACCATTTTAAAAACGCTCGTTAAATAGCAAAATATAGATATTTAAGAAAAGAGTTAGAAGACAAGATTAAAACGCTAAAAAACTATATAATGTAGCGTACAAAATACTTAAAAACTTACGAGTATTTGACTAATTAGTTAATAAAGTTTTTTTGGATTACGAAACAGAATCACTTATTCTGCCTATTATAGTTTTCTAAACTGACCGCTAGATGACACTACGGGTGCCATTTTCAATCAGTTGCTCTGCGACGTGCAATTGTTGTCCCTGTTCTTATTAGTAGGCATGACATCTTCGTAGGGGGGAATGTTGGCCTTTTTGAATTCGTCACGCACCCGTTCGGCCTCCTGGAACACTCTGAGGAAATTCAGTCCGGCCAGCTTTTTGAGGTCGTCCACGCTCCATTTGCCGGTGCCTATAAGCTCGGCGAAGAGGGTGGGATAGGTGGAGACGTCCTCCAGTCCTTGGGGAACGCTGCGAAAATAAGAAAAGTACAATTTTACTGGATTTTATAGAATGTATACCGAACGATTGTTTGTCTTGTAATTGATTGTTCAAATTTGGTTTAAATGTTGATAGAATTGTAATAATTAGCAGTATTTGTTGAGTTAAGCAGTGTGTCACAAAAGTATTATTAAATATTCTTTTAAATAAAAGTTATTTTCTATTATTTGAATCGAACAACGCCTTACTCTTAACATCAAATCAGTACAAGTTGTAAATCTTTTTATATCACTGATCTGTAAACAGTGAGATACTTGCAATTCAAGCTAAGTGATTTGCCCTCTGGAGGAAATTTTTAAAAGGTCTATAAGTAGGACTTTTTTCAGTGTTGCCAGGAGTAGCGGAATTTCGCTACGACAGCGGATTTTTAGCCCCTAAAGAAGTGGAAAGACCCTTTTTCAAGTAGTGAAATTTATGTCTACCAATATGAATAAGATACACCTCTGATAGTAAGTACAAAATATACAGACAGTTATAAATTGTTTTTCAGTTTATCACCAGTTCACAGTTCTTTGTTATGTTGTGAAAAAGGGTTTGGAATTATTATTAAAGGTATTCTAAACCGTAGTAGGATGCCTTTGTATACCCAGACAGCACACCAAATCCTTTGGATATCTACTGAACATCCCAATATCCACTGAATGTCCAGTCCATGGTGGATATCTATTTAATATCCATGAGCTGTAATTTATAGACATGCAAATGTCCATAAATAATAGTAATTATTGCAAATTATTAAAAAATTACGCCATTGTGGCTAATAGTACCGTTCAGATATTTAAAATTAATTTTTATAAGGTGTATTCAATATCCCATGGACATCCACTAAATATATCAAAGTCTAGGCGCTAACGCAAACCATCGTGGATATCCACTAGATGTAATTTTTGATTTTGCTTACTAAGTATAGATGGCGATACTACTTTCGCATCTACTTATGCTCAACCCGCCGCAATTGAGTTCGATCGAAATTTTTTTCACAATCAGACTCTATTAGAGACTGGAGTCGAGAATTTCCATTTATTGCTGAAGAGTTCTAATAAGGATAATTTTCCCCTTAGTGGGCAAAATCAAAGGCAGAGTGTTGAAAATATTTTGAGTGTTGAAAATATTTTTTATCTCTGCTATTTTCTTTCGACTTTATTCAATAATCATTGGTTACTTATGAACCTCTACTAAAGATACCTATAAAATATTTTGCTGAATATCCGAATTCTTCTATATCCTGGGATATAGACGGACATTTGGTTGGATATCCATATCCATATTGGATATCCACAGAATATATTCTATGGATATCTATTGGATTTCTTGTATTGTCTGGAAGATACTCATTAGATATTTTGCTGGATATCCATATGATATCTTCTATATTCTGGATATAGACGGACATTTGGATATCCACAAAAGATATTCTGTGAATATCTCTGGGATTTGGTGTGTTGTCTGGGTATTAACTAAATAAATCCCGTTTTCACACTTCCGCTACATTAATTGTAAATATCTGCTACACCCACAATAATAGGACATCGGGGGAGGGGAGAAGGGAGAGGAGGTAGGGTAAGTTTCACCAATTTTTTAAAAATGCATTATTTTACCAAAAAAATACGTGGGTGGATCAAATATAAACAAGCCTTTTAAAATTATAAACGGAAAAGTCATTCAAGGTGAACGTGGCTGTTAAAATATTGGAGTAGGAATGTTCAGCAGCATGTAAGCAGCTGGTAGTGACGCGATTCTCATTTGGCCAGTAGCAATTGCAATGAGCGAGACGAAGATACACAGCAGTGTTGCGCAAAGAATAATCATTAAATTTCTTACGCACAAAAACTTAAAACCTGCTGAAATTCTACGCAGATTGCGAGCACAGTTCGGGAATGAAACGCTTTCGTGGGCACGTGTAAAATCTTGGTGCAAAACGAGCAAGCATGGAGTGGCGGCACAAAGACGAACCAAACCCAGTAAAGGCGAAAATTTGTCTGTCTGCAGGCAAAGTTTTAGCGACCGTTTTCTGGGACTGGAGAGGAGTTTTGTTGGTAGATTTTTTGCATGAGCGAAGAACAATAAACGCGGCTTACTACTGTAACTTACTCGACCAGGTAAAGCTTGCTTATCACCAAAAGAGGAGAGCACACTCCATCCGAGACGTGTTGCTCCTGCATGACAACACTAAACCTCATACGGTAGCTTTAACACAGGCCAAAATCAATCAACTGCACTGGACTGTGCTGGAACACCCTCCGTACAGTTCAGTTTTGTCACCATGTGATTTTCATATGTTTGGGCCACTCAAAGATTCACTGGGAGGCGAGCGATTTCAGACCAATGAAGAGGTGGAGACATTTATGCGCAACTAGTTAGCTACCCTCCCCACTTCTTTTTATGAAAACGGGATTAAGAAATTGCCAATCCGTTAACAGATAAAGGGAATATGTAGAAAAGTAGAAAAAAATCTGTTTTATGTCATGTTTTAAAATAAATAGTTTATAAACGAAGGCTTGTTTATATTTGATCTACCTACGTATTTACAAGAATAGTCCTGTGATAAACGTTTTTATCCTCAAAATCATTTAGAATTTGATCTTCAACAATTTTTATTAAAGCTATTTTGCTTTAAAAATATGTTTAGGAAACCATGCCTATACCGTAATTCGTACGAGGAGTTCGAGTGTGATATTTTGGTTGGATACTCAGGATCATCCTGTTAAGATTTTTCTTTGCGACGCCTAAAGCTGAGCATAACTTTATTGGATGAAGTATCTATAGGGAGTGGTGCAGCGAGCACAAGAGACCGTCAAAGTTAATCTATCTTGTAGATTTCGAAGCGTAGATTTCAAAAATGTGTCGATTTTCGGTAAATCTCTACGAAAGTGCTTCAAAATTAGTTTTAAACAAAACAGTAAAGTAAATCCATTTTTAAAACCTCCATACCGAAAATATATTCTGATTCCCAAAATTAAATAATGAAGCCACTCCTCCCGCTCGTCCCGCAAGTGCTGAAAATTCTTTTAACCGAATATCGCGATTAACCTCTACGTACGCCGTCGGAATTTTTGAGCTCCGTCATTGATCTCATTAATTTTTTTTTCAAAATTTTCCGCATTCCATTCACCGGGTTTTATTAATTCGGCAAATACCGTACAATTCCAAGTCCTCGATCCCAATCTCCTGTCGGTTGGTCTGTCCCCACGGGAACCGTCGGGAATAAGACGTTTTTCGCCACTCGATATTTACACTGCAGGATTATATTTTTGGTTTCATTATGGAATTTAATGAAATAAAAGGGGCGCTTTTCTTTCTACTCCTCGCTCTTTAAATCAACATTCCTGTTAAAAATATTCAGCGACGGCAATACAAAAGTAGATTGCGCGATGAACAAAGACGGATAAATAATTAATAAGGACTGACGGAATCCTTGAAATATTCTTTTTTTTAACGAGATTAATTTATATGTATCTGTATTTGGAAAGAAATACGAATTTGAATTAGGTAGGCATTTCAACTTCCTGTCAAAAAATCTAATATGGTTGCCTTATGGCACACAGCTTTTGTTTACATATTTGTCGAAGTGGTTTTTCCTAATTATTAGCTTAAATAATCGAAACTTGGTGTTTTTTAGGGTGATTTTTGTTTAATCCCAACTTTAACTTTTTCTTTTCTTGAGTTAGTTTAGTCGCTAGACTTCGCGGGGAGATGATTGACACACCCTATATATTCATTTAATTATTAATGTTGTTTCCACGTTCATTAACATTAATGTTTTAAAATTTTGAAAACATGCTTTAAATATAGTGGTGCTCTATCTAATTACTGAGTTACTTTCATTCCAATGTCAACCTACGATCTTTGTGCAAGAGGTTTGAATACATTCAATTGTAAAATTAAAATATATCATTACAACTGTAAACACAATTCATGATTCATGTTGGCGGCATTGGTTTAATAATCAGGGTTCCCGCATTAGGAATGTGAAAGAATGCAGTCCTGATCAGTACTGTTATAGTATTCTTGACATTTGTAATTAAAAAAAATGTTACTGTAATAATGTTTCTTAGTTCTTTTTACCGAAAGCACTTTTGTATTTTAGTTAAAAATTTGAACGAAATACAAGTTTTCGTTGCTGATCTATAAGCTGCGTGCACACACCAGTTAACCTATTTTGGTTTCTCTTTATAATTTTGTTGCTTTATTTACTAATAATTGTATATTTTAGGCAAACAAGCTTCTCTGAAAGACGTAACATGGACAACGAACAAGGGAGATTGCTGCAGGCAGGTATTTCACGAAAACAAAATACTACAAATAAACTCTCAAGTTAATTTGTAGTATGTGCGCCATCAGGCAATCATTTTACCTGTTCAAAATCACGTGGTTTAGAATGCATAAATAATACTCGCAATAACAGCCGACGGACCTAAGCTATATGGTAACTATGCAGCGATTCACTAAATCCGGCTCGAAAGACCACGTTTTGAGACGCTGCTTTTGCAAAAATATATTATAATTCTCCTGCAATGGACAGTGGAACTAATATTTTTTCTTATTCCACTTGTAACGTATATTACTCCTTACATTGATCCTTTGACAAACACATTATTATCGAGGACCGGCCTCTATAACTTATACCCGCACTAGCGCTAGCAGACAAAAACTAAAGTGCACGAGCAAATAATGGAAGAAAGAGCACGGAAGGGCGAATACTTACTAGTTTATTCCATCGTAGCCGGCCCCGATTCCAACGCTATCCACGCCGGCCACTTCTCTGATGTGATTTATGTGAGCTGGAAAACAAAAACAAACTGAATTAATTCGGAACGGCAAAAACGGGGTACGGCGGGTAGACCGCACCGACGGTGCTGCACACAAGGTCTGGGTATTCAATTCCATATTTTTACCCCCGAATGGATATTACACGCTGCGAATTTATCGCCGGTTGAAAAGTGTTTTGTGAGCTGCTTTTCTCAGTGGCTCAGTGGCGCGACAAGGCTTAGCTATCGCTCTGTAATAATTGGTATTATAAGTAAAGAATTACACATTCTAAAATAATAAAAGGTTAACTAAATATCCAAATAGAAAAACAACGTATTGAAATAAACCAAACAATTAGGTTTTTATAACTCCAGGCAATGGCTTCCATTGGAAGAGTTATTCAAGGGCAACACATGTTAATGTTCTTCACGTACATTTTGATTTAAATAGAGAGTCGATAGTCGACAGAAGGAGACTTGAGTAAGGGCTGCTGCCAGAAACTCTTGCCGAAAGGCTGCTCTAGTAGAGACGGTTCCTTCGGGGTCGTATGTCCCGAAGCATCTTAATTTGTAAAGTTTTGTGCAGCGATTTGTTTTTTTATTTTATTTTATGTTGGGTTTTGCTTTTGAGACAAATAAGTATTTTTCAATTTGAATACCAAATTTTCCACTTTCGTCCCAAGTTTGATTACTAAATATCATATGTTTTAATTTTTCAATGATATAATTTGTTAATGAATCCAAACCATATAATCCAATAAGAAGTTGTTTATCTGTCATAAGTCATAGGTTGTGTATTATAATTATCATTTCAGTCTTTATCAAAAATTTTGGTGTTCCAACCAGAGGTAAGAAAATTTAACGAGCCCAACATCCATGGAACTCGGTACCGATGGCTTTACATCTCCTCCAAAAAGATGGCGCACCTCACGCTATACCTCGTACCCATTGATATAACGCCTGTCCACTGTGGTATGCGAGCAATTTGTTCGGACGTACGCCGACTTTCATTGAAATGGTCACCCATCCAACTACTAACTGTAGATATTGATATGCAATAAGTGAACCTGCTAAGCCAGACCGCTGCTCAAATTTGGACATATTGTTACGCAGCACCCTGCGGCTGTAAACGTAACGAATAGAAAAAGAAGTGGAATGCTACTCATCGCCCTACAGTGTACTGCGGTCGTTATAAGTAAAAGAAGATAGTCCAGAAATGTCTGGAAACTTCATTACCCGTCAACAATATTCTAGACGACAGTTCGAGAAGGGTCAAGCAAGCTATATAAGGATGATCCTGACGTCAGTTTTCAGTTTTATGATAGACGTTACATGTTGTTATCAGCTGTATCGTTATTGTGAAAGTTGAGATACCAAAAACCTACGTAACATTGGTGACAGCGGTGGGATTCAAAGTAAAAGTTCATGGTAAATACTAGACACACTGAGTACGAAGCAGGCATAGATAATTCAGGCCCACCAGAATGGTTTTTGAAGATGGAAGAGAAAAAGGAAAGGCGTAGGAAGGAAAAAGAGGAGGAAAAGGAAAGGCGTAGGAAGGAAAAAGAGGAGGAAAAGGAAAGGCGAGAAGAGGAGAAGGAAAGACGCAGGATGGATGAAGAAAAAGAGAAGGAAGAGAGGCGTAAAAAGAAGCGGTTGAAATTATGAACGGTTTGCTACAAATCCAGGAAACCTTCAAGCAAGAGGTTAGTCAGCTTAAAATTAGGATAGATCCCCTAACACTACAACCAGATCATTTAAAAGCCAATTTAATACAGCAGCAAGATACTTTAAAAGCCAGTTTAGAGCAGCAGCAAGAGAATTTAAACCTCAGTTTAGAACAGCAGCAAGAGAATTTAAAAACCAATTTAGAACAGCAGCAAGAGAATCTAAAAACTAATTTGGAGAACTTAAAAACGAATTTAAAAAGACAGCAAGATGTTTTGAAAGCTAATTTAGAGAAACAGCAAGATAATTTAAAAGCTAATTTTGAACAACAAGAACAGGCTAGAGTAGAGTTGGAAATGCAAATTCGAGTTGAAATGGCTGAGTTAGTAAGAAAAATTCATAGCCAAGCTTCGATAAGCAACAGAGAAATTGAAAACACTATTACCTCGTCTTCATTCATAACCGAACCAAGCCACATTTGAATTCCAGTTTCACAGAACTATACCAGCAAGACCCTTAAGCCACCCAAGTTTGACGGTCAGACAATATGGGAAACATATCGACTGCAATTTGAAGCTGCAGCTAGAGCCAATGGCTGGACCGAGAAAGATATGGTGGCTTCATTGATAGTGTCACTGCGAGGTCAGGCAGCAACCGTTTTACAGTTACTTCCTCAAGAGGAACCCAGTTATTCACCTCTCGTCCAAGCTTTGGAGGCAAGATATGGCCAGCAGCAGTTGCAACGGGTATTCCAAAGCCAGCTAAAGGTTCGTAGTCAGAAACATAATGAGAGTCTACAGGAATTCGAGGCTGACATAAGGAGGTTGATTCATCTGGCCTATCCACAGGTGCCGAAAGATTTCCAAGAACAACTCGGAATACAAGCATTCATTGATGGACTACAAGATGTGGAAATGCAGCAAGTCCTTCGTCTACAACATCACAAGACGCTGAAGGAGAAACTGATTGCAGCCCAGGAATATGAAGCGGTAAAACTCCTATCCAGATCTTCTCGCGAAAAAGTGACGGAAATTAAATCGCAGGAAAGTGAGGAGGCCAATACTATTGCTATTCCCCAAATCTTAAATATCCTACAAAATATGCAACGAAACAGCCAAAATGGAAGCAGGAGATGCTTCAATTGCGGAAGAATCGGGCATCTTCAAAGAACATCTAGAAGCAGGGCTCATTCTATAAATCGAGAATCAGCGAATAAGACCGGAAAATCATATAGATCAATCTTTCCAAGCCCATCACTAAGACCAACAAGAATTAATTACAACAACTATGCGTCCCGAAGAAGCCAATCACCTACACCGAGCCGGCTTTCTAACAATAACCAGAAAGTAGAGCATCGAAGAGGTCTCCATAGCAACGCAAACATTCTCTTCGTGCAACCCCGCTTAGAGGAACAATACCGGTATGATAAAAGGCTCGAAGAACGAGAAGAATCGGTTCATAAAGCTACTCTTTGGACAACCACTTTCAAGCCAGAGGGCGACGAAGAAGAAATCACCCTTGAAAGTCTGAGACAGGGACAGAAGAAAGACAATGACTTAAAGGTTGTCCGAGAATGGCTCAAAATTAAAGTCACACCTACTTGGCAAGAGATAGCCAAATAGAGTAGAACTATAAAAGGCTACTGGACCCAGTGAGATTCCCTGTATCTTCACGATGGCCTATTGTACCGGTGATAGAGCCCCGATGGAGTACATGTAGTCTGCCAAGTTATACTGCCGAGATCACAGGTGAGAAAAATATTCTTGACACTTCTGGACTATTCTATCTTCTTTTACTTATGACGACTTCAGCACACTGTAGGGCGATGAGTAGCATTCCACTTCTTTTTCTATTCGTACGTTTCCTATAACAGTCGCAGGGTGCCGCGTAACATTGCTCCCTCCTCTCTAGTTATTCGCTCCGAATAACTTAATTACTGGGACCTAGTTGGAAATAATGGGGAGGATCTGGACCATGGTTTGGAGCTATCTTCCCAATGTGAACTACGTTGAATTTACTTCCCGCTGACAGTTGAATGCGGCAGATCAGGGGTCTATTGAATAAAAAGAAGTATTGGCTTCTACTTCCTCTTATTTAAGTATTTTCTCAGTATAAATTGAATAAAAGGTCAGTGACTACTTCATGTAAAAGTGATTACTTATGGCCATAAGCAAACTCTTATGGTTTTAAGTAGTTACTTAAAATATAAGGATTTACTTATATTTTTCCAGTACTGGCTTATTTTTATTTGAATAAAAATTACCACTGAAGAATGAATTGAGAATTGTGAGAGGGATTTGAAGTTTTTCTTTTTTTAACGAAATGCTGAATATTAACAGTTTTTTAATAAAATTAGAGAGTTAAATAAAAGAAACAAAAGTAAAGGAAATGTTTATTACAAAGATGGAAGACAAGGAGAGCAGAGAAGAGAAGGAGACCAGTAGTAATCAGAGAAACAGATAAGAAATTAGAAATAAATTTATTTATTTGATGAAATTTGTTACTTGTTTGTACATTTTTTCAAAACGAACCGCTTCTTTTGAGAGTTTTTAAAAGTCTTTGGAAAACGATTTGGAAATTATTGAACTGATTATTTCCATATCAATATACAAGGTGTTCCATGACGTACTATATAAACTTGGATAGCATATTCCTGAGTTCATTTCAAGCACACATTTTTTTATGAACAACAATTCTCCATAGCTACACAGCAGGGGCGGTTTCTCCATTGGTTTATTTGTGCAGTGAACACCCAGTTACATTTCATTAAAACACATTATTTTAAAATAAATAACATAAAAATATTAATTCAATTTTAATAATTTTATTGTTTTCATACGTGTTAATATTTATTTTTGGGTACGCCACTGCTCTCTGGCCAACCTCGTTTTCGTGGCGCGCTTTTTTAAGTGAGCCAGAAGGAGTGAGAAGAAAGATATTATTACAGCATTATCATTATCTAGTTTAATAAGGGAGATGCATGGATAAGATAAAAAAATTACTCATAGAGTTTGCTCAATTTAACAAAATATAGCCGGGACTGGATTAAAAACTAAATAGAAAGTATCCAAACACAATCAAATTCTAGTAGACCAAAAGAGGACGAAGGCTATAAACCAATAAAACCGTTCACTCAACAATAATTGCCCCATTTACTAAATTCAACTTATTATATTCCAGTACTCTATTAAAATAGGCTGTTTGAATTGATCAAGTACTAAATTACTAAACTAATGTACCTATGCATGTAAATAGTCCATTAAATGAAGAAATAAAATCTCATTTTACCAAAAAAACATGAAAAGTTCAAGTGGGATTGAATTAGGTTAAAGACTTTTGATTTCTTAAAAAAATATGTTACTTGA